CTTCCCCTTCCCTTCCCCTTCCCTTCCCCTTCCCCTCCCCTTCCCCTTCCCCTTCCCTTCCCCTTCCCTTCCCCTCCCCTTCCCCTTCCCCTTCCCCTTCCCTTCCCTTCCCTCCCTCCCTCCCTCCCTCCCTCCCTCCCTCCCTCCCTCCCTCCCTCCCTCCCTCCCTCCCTCCCTTCCTTCCTTCCTTCCTTGTTTTGGTTGGTCAGGGGCTTGAACTCTGGGCCTGGGTGCTATCCCTGAGCTCTTTAAGAGCTCAACTTGAACCACAGCGCCACTTCCACTTTTCTGGTGGTTTATTGGAGACAAGAGTCTCACGGGGACTTTCTTGCCTGGGCTGGCTTTGAACTGCGATCCTCAGATCTCAGCCTCCGAGATCAGCCACCGGCACCCAGTGTAATGAAGGCACATTTTTATAGTGGGTGGTGTAGGTCCTTTCATTGGCTCTGTGCTGTATGAATGGGGGGTAGACGAGGAGTTCTGATGTGTGAATGAACTCAAAGGGCAAAGAATGGGCGTATGAATGGGAATGTGTGAGAGGGAAGGAGTCTATGGCTTACTAAGATGTGTGCATTTTACTTCTTATTAGCGTTAACAAAGGGGCTCCATCTGAAATGATTCTGTGATTATCATTTTGATCAAATTCACCCCACCCACGGTACTTTCTTAGCCACTCTGTTTTCCCTTTTAAATAAATAGGTACTCATTTCCCTCCCCCAAACACAAGAGCATGTGAGAGCTATGTAGGGATAAAAATGGCTTTATTTTTCTCTTCCCTAGCACCTGAGTGCAGATGCCGTCTACCAGGTGTGGCATTGTAGTCTGGCACACCTTAACCATTGGAGAAACTTCCGGCATTGTAGTCTGGCACACCTTAACCATTGGAGAAACTTCTCTCAGCAGAAGCCGTTGTTCATCGTGTTTCTCATCCTGTTTTGCTAGCACTTACCACAGTAACTCAGCAGTAATCGACCCAGAGATTTCTCTTCTTTTAGAGACCCAGATCTTAGAGATCTGGGAAAGATCAACTACAACAGGGCTTCATTTATAAGCAAGGAAGATGAGCCATTCTCCCGTTTCAAATGCCCAATCAGGAATCATAAGCTCTGAGGAAACAGATGCACAACGGCACCTTTATTCAAGTGATTTCCACCCTTCTTTGTATGGCGTGAGCTGGAAACAGCACTTCACATTTGTGCCCTCTCAGAGACAGAAACACTGAGCACACGGGCGGGTCTCCCTAAGTTGCTTAAAGTTCTGTAATCGGTGCAGCTGGGAGAAGAACAGAACGAATAAAAGCGTGACTCACCAGCCTTGTCTGGCGGGGCCTGGAAGGCCCCCCTGCCACGGCGATGGCGTTGATAACAGCTAACGATCACCACTCACAGGGTGCTAGGTACTGACCGATGATCACCACTCACTATGTGCTAGGTGCTGCACCAATAATCGCCATGCCCTGGGTGCCAGGTGCCGCACCGGTAATTACTACTTGCCGTGTGCTAGGTGCCGCACTAGGTATGTTCCACAAACCACTCCCTGCCTCCGATAGCCCCACGATCCTTCCCACCTCCAGAAGCAGAGAGTGTGGTGCAGACACGGTCAGGAAGCAGGGGGCGCCAGGGTTCGAGTCCAGGCTTTTGGTCCTTGGCGCTGTGATCCCCACCCTGGTTGTCCTCATGAATTAGCAAAGGCAGCCGTGGAGACAGAGTCCTGCGGCCTGCGCGCCCAGGAGGACAAACAGCTGGACGGTAGAAGAGCCCGGCTCCTAGCCTGTCCCACTGGTGATAACTGCCTCGCGCCCCTCTTCCCTGAATGGCGCGCACACCTCTCCGAAGCCAGCTCCGATCTCCAGCCTACGGTCTGGCTTCCCACCTCCTGGCGGAGCGGGCGCTGGGGAACTTGTGGAGGCTGGAGAGCAGGGCCGTGAAATCCAGGGGCCATCTGCACCGTGCCGCCGGGAGGGATGCGGGCGTGGCACGGCGCTGCGCCCGCACAGCACCTGCACTGTGGACAGGAACCGACGAGGAGGGCTGCCTTCTGACCCGGGACCCACATCTCAAGCGACGTGGGAGACGGCCGCTGCGTTCCCTCTACCACAAAGAACACCTGTGTGCTGGGAAAAAGCGGCCTTCTTCCTTCTCCCCAGTGCTGGAACTCAAACTCAGAGCCTGGGTGCTATCCCTGAAGCTTTTGTGCTCAAGGCTAGTGGGCTCTACTACTTGAGTCACAGCTCCACTTCCTGATCTTTTTGGGTAGTTAATTGGAGATAAGAGTCTCATGGACTTTCCTGCCTGGGCTGGCTTCAAACCTCCATCCTCAGATCTCAGCCTCCTAAATAGCTAGGATTACAGGTGTGAGCCACTGGCACCCAGCTCCCAGACTCCTTTTTATAGGTATATTTTTATGGGCTTGAATGACTTCCTGTAGAGTAGCTGAAGAAAGACTTCAGTGGCTCAGTCATTAGGAGGAAGTGCAGACATAATGATACTCTGCTGTCTGCATGCCATGAAACCATGATTTTCTTTTTAAACAACTTCTTTAAATGAACCGAGCTCACTTCCCAAACATTTTCTGGATTAAAAAAATAAATTTGTCTTCCTTAGAGTTTGATGCAGCAAAAGTATTACATGCCTTTGTTTCACAGAAGGGAATCTGCTATTGCCTTTTTGTGTGAGTTATCAGATGTGATTTTATCCATATTGTCTTTTCTTTTTCTTACAGTTAGACGTTATTGTTATATGGTCTTTGGCATCCAGGGGAGTGGGCAGAATTTTCTTCAATCCTCCATAAATACTAGGTATGCAAAGTAGAGCCCTGTAGACTTGAAATTGCTAAATTCATCCTGGAGAACACAGTATCGCTATGTTCAGCAATATTGAGGTATTTAGGGTATAAGAGAAAAGTTCTTCCCTCGGAGTTTTTCAAATAGGTAGGGAGAGCCTGAGATCAAGAGGATCATAGTTTGATGCCAGTTCCGGCGAAAGAAGAAAAAGTTCACCGGAGCCCTTTCCAAGCCAGCAGCTGAGTGTAGTGGCCAACACCTGTCATCCCAAGCAGTGTAGGAGTCTGGGATCAGGAGGATCTCTGTTCCAGGTCAGCCTGGGCAAGAAAGCTCATGAGACTCAATCTCAACAGGAGCAGGTGTGGCTATGTGTGGGACCTCATCTACAGTGGAAAGTCTGAAGTAAGAGGTTCATATGCAGGCAGGAAGCGAAGATTGTCTCTGGAAGAACCAGTGCAACAAAGGACCAATCATGTTACTCCTGCAGTGGAGTGTCTGTCTTCCTAGTAAACACGAGGCCCTTGGTTCAACCCCCCGCCAAAAAAATACAAATTTGTAGACAGGGCTTGGGAGTTGGGTATAGTTAGGAGAACACGCCTGTGTACATGCCTGTGAACATCCTGTGTAGCGTGCCCAAGACCCTGGGCTATGTGGCCTAACCGTACAAAGAAAAGCAAAACAAAATTTGCAGACAAAGTGAACACAATCCTAGATGAACAGTCACCACTCAGTAAATAGTTATTGCCCTGAGAGCAACTTGGGAGTGAATGTTGAAATATGGGGTGAGCAATGCTTCTTAGCTTTAGAGAATTCACAGTTCAGTGCGAACAGAGGAGTGAATTAGACTTTATGGGAATAAAAGGAGATTGTTTACTAGTGGTTTCATTGTTCGTTTTTAAATTAATTTAGAAAGATGGGTGAAATTCACAAGAACATACAAGAACAACGTAAGCACAGTCCTGGAAGTGGTGTCTGGTCTCAGGATGTCACGGTCCATGCAGAGCCAAGACTCATGCATTTTGTGACAGAGGGAGGGAGGGAAGGAGGAATGAGGAAGGGAGAGAGAAGGGGGGAGAGAGAGAGAGAGAGAGAGACAGACAGACAGACAGAGACAGAGACAGACAGAGAGACAGACAGAGAGAGACAGAGACAGAGAGATAGAGACATCAAAATAGGAAATAAAGATCCCGAGAAGCACCTACCAGGTGGATTTCTTTTGGGATTATTTTTCTTGGTTCTAAACTTCATGCTTGTGATGAAAAATGATGACTTTTGATCCAACTTATCAATGATGGAACTGAAAGCAACATGGCGGGCATGTGTTTGGCCAATGGCCCAAGGCCTGCCTTTCATGTACGGGCCCTCCATTGGTGGGAGGTGCTGTCTCACATGACACCTGATAAGACAGGAAGGTAATTAACCAATAAGAGACAAGGTGTTCCCTGAAACATGGAGTTCGTGCACCTGATTACTAATCAATCGGGCGTGAGAGCACCTTGTAGATGCATCCGCTATTTAATTATAGCAGCCTCTCTTGGCAAGGGAGCATATGTTCCCCGCTTAATCTACTGGTTTATACTGACATCAAATTGTCATTATCAGAAAGAATCAGGCCTTTTGATTATTCCCACTAATTTATTGAACACTTAAAATTAATGAACCCCAGGCCTTTTAAATGTGCTCAGTTGGTTTGTAAGATGGAAGGGGAACGGGGGTGGGGGGAGGCCTTCATTAAAAGGCCAATTTGTTTGGATAAAGGTAAAGCAAACACATTTCATGGGTGATCTGAACTCTGCTGGTGATGAACTCGTGAGTCTAGAAACAGGGCCTACTCGGTGGAGGAGAGGAAATTGGATATGAGGTGCTCCCTACTGGACGCTATTTGCACCCACAGAGCACAGGGCCCCTAACCATTTAGGTTGGAGGCCGGTTGTCTCTGAGAGCCTCTCTGTCATGCAGCTTCATCAAAGGAAAGCAATAAAATTAAATATCAGAAGTCAATGGCTACTTCAATAAGGACTTCCTTCTAAAATTTCAATGTTCATTTATTCATTTTTAATTACCTAATTTCTCTCCCTCTGTCCCTGGGACTGTAAGCTCTTCTCACACTTACGCAGACTGAGATTGATCTCAGGGAAAGCCGGCCCTCTGGGAATGGCCTCCCCTGGGAAGATGCTCTTTGTTGCCTTTCCAGGCTCATGGTGCCTTTTGTGCTCAGTTTCAGGTGAAGGCCAGGTTGGAGTGACACTCCAGGTGATGGAAGGCGCGCCCCCGACTCTCTCAGGTGAGTGCTTGCCCCCGCAACACAAACGCTTGGCATCGCACAGCGTCCCGAGGCGTCTGTGACCCCCTGTATCACCGGTCCAGTGCTTTTCTGCCTGGCCACTGCCTCTTAGTTACCCTAGAGCAAAAATCGGTGCCAATGCCAAGGAAGACTCAAGGGTACCTTTATTTTTAAAACAGAAGAGAGTAGGAAATAAAGCATGGAAATAGCACATTCCATAAATTCTGGACCACGGAGCTGCACACGGATCTCCCCTCCAAACAGGAAGGAAAATTCTGGTATCTTTAAATTTCAGTTGTTCCCGGTGATTTCAGGAAATCAACATACACACCCCCTCCTCAAAAGTTAGATGTTTCTGTGAAATCTTGCTAACTCAGTAAAGGAAAAAGCCAACGTATCAAAGAACACATACCTCACACATGCCTTCTAATGGGTTTCTCAGTTTGCTTTTGTGTATTCCAAGTCAGTTCAACTGTGCGTTTGCAGGGGGATACATCTGTTTGGAGGGTTTCTGAATCATCCTTTGATTTTTCAAGGGCATTTTTGTGTTATAGCAGGGCAGAGTCTATGTTGATCAGAAAATGATCTAATTTCTCCATTTACATTTCCAAACAATGGAGGTAAAGGCACTGGACTGAAACAGTGGGGTGAAGAATTGATGGTTACCACTCTGTGATCATTGGACTTGGAGGAATGTGACTCAAGGCTTTGTGTGTGTGGAGGGTATTTGAACTCAGGGCCTGAGCTGTTTGGTTCAAGGCTAGCACTCTACCACTTGAGCACTTAGCCTACTACCAGCTCTTTGGTGGTTAATTGGAGATGAGTCTTACAGAGCTTTCTGCTTGGGCTGGCTTCAAATCACGATCCTCAGATCTCAGCCTCCTGAGTAGCTAGGATGACAGGCGTGAGCCACCAGCACTTGGTTCAAGATTGTTTTCACAACGGTTTCTGAGCTTGTGTGGTGGTATTGTATTCCTTCTGTCTCCTGTCTTTATCCTGTTTCTTAGGTAGCTCAGAATGCATGCCTTCTCTCATATGTGGAAGCTAGAATTAGTTTATGAATGGAGAAGTATGTTGGGTGCTATCAAGTTTATACAAATGTATTAACTGACACATGGTAGAGTCAAGAGGGATCTCAAAGTGTGATTCCTTAGAAAGCCAAAACCAAAGTTCAACAAAACAAACAGCAGGAATCTGGTACTTGGAAGGAGTGGGGGTAGGGGGAGATGAAGAGAGAAGAGAAATGGAGGGAGGATGTGGTCAGAATTAAGAAAGTCCAGGGAAGTGGATTGGGAGGGATGGGTGAGAATGTTGAGAGAGGCGATACTGGTTAAGAGGCATTGTGTTCATGATAAAATGTATTACAGAAGACAATATATGTAGTAGATGAATAGATATATATTCATCATACAATGTCATACATTGAATTAATAATCCAATTAACTACATTGTTAAATGGCAACTCCTTTGTACAACTACTTAAATAAGTATGAATGCCTCCGAATGGGAGAGGAAGAGTACTACAAGAAACAAGATCAGTTAGGGGAATGACTTATGGGGTCTCATTCCTTCCTGGCAATGTCAGGTTCCAGCTTGCTTCATGCTCTTTCTGCCTTACTTACCCTGTAGCCTGGAATGTGCTAGAGACCTCCTGCAGCTCCTACTTAGCAGTTTATGAGCCAAACTAGAATCTGTAGCAAGTCTTCTTAGAAAATTTAGGTTGGAAAGCTATTCTGAAAACACACACACACACAAAATTTCAGAGTTAGTATATTATTATTGATCAGCAAATAAGACCCGGCCTGATTCTCACGGTGAGTCAGAATACTCCCTCACTCGCATAGCTACACGAGGGAGGGTCTTGGTTTGTTCCCTGAGAAGTAGTTTTAGTCTTCCTTTGAACTGAAGAGAGAGATGACAAAAATGAGAAATGTGTTTCCAACTTCTGTGGAGGGATCTTGGTCCCTGAGGCTGGGGTGGGGCTTGGCGGGATTGTAGAGCACCCATTGGCCATCTGACATTTCTCTAGAGTAGTGAGCATCAGAGACACCAGTCTAGCCTAGATGGTGCTGGGTTCATAGCCATCCTAACTCAGGGCGTTACCGTATCCGATTTGCATGACTCCGGGGCAACATTTTGAGAGAACACAGGGAAGAATCCCCACGTTATCACCATGTTGTCGTTGATAAAACCTTTTCAAAGCCTCTTTCTGAGCCAGGCTACTCTAAGGCCTGGCCTCATCCCCATGGTGCGTGGTGTGATTTGTGCTAATTAAGTTGCCTATGATTTCTGGTTGACCATAGTCTATTCACTTTTCAATTTTCCCAGGGCTCTAATTAGACCATGACTGCTAGAAAACTGGGTTCTGGCAGGAAAAAAAATAAGTAACTGGCTGTTCCCCGTGCCTCTGATATCCGACATTTTCTCTTCTTCTTGGGAAATCCTCCCGGAATCCCAGAGCCATCCTCGCAGGCTTAAAGACCACTTCCTGGAGCATGCTGCTGCAATCCAGCTCCAAGCCTTCTCCAGCGTAGAGCTTCGGCCCTTCCCACGGCTCCCAGCTGCCCATGGCTCTCTGTGTATCTCTACCCAGAGACAAATGAATAGAGAAGGCCGCAGACTCCAGACTCCGTGAGCCTCTGCTTGGTCTTGGCCTTCACGGCTCTCCTCCCTCAGGCCTCTGGTTATTTCTCCAGGCTCATTGTTGACCTGGTGCTAGCTCTGTGGGGTTAGTAACAGCCAACTTGAAAGGACCTCACGTACCTCACAGGTATTGTGCTCATGCCTCCCTCTGGAGCGAGGCCTTTGCCATGGCCCCCTTTGCTGATTTGACACCTTCAGAGGGCTGCTCATTACCAGCTCCCTCCCTCCTTTCTCTGGAGACCCATTAGAGGCCTCCTGTGAGTGCCTGCCCACATTTTCATCTTCCCAGTACAGACTGACATAGCTTCCTCGGAGCAAGGAGACCGCCCTATTCCTTCATCTATCTTAACTCACGGAATGTTCCAGAATGAAGGGGCTCCATGTGTTCACCCATGAAACAAGCCAGGAGTGGGTGAGGTCTGCTCTGTGCTGTCTAGGAAGGAGGCCTCTCCACCTTCCTTTTGGAGACAAGATGTCAGGTGCTCTGACTACATTATCAATCACAGCCCAGGAGAGAATGGCTCCAGTTCATGACATCGTTCCAGATATTGCTATCAGGAATCATTCAATTTTCACTTTGGTTCTGTGATAGTGATACCAAGGGAGTGACTGAAAAGAAAATGGCACCCAATGCTCAGAGCAGAATCAATAAGGATCGGTTAGAACATGGGACCTGTATGTACATCGCTGTCCTGAGGGTGTCCACACCTGTACTCAGCGGATAACAGGCACTTAGAAGGGCTTGGCCTGCTGCCACGTGCCTGGAATCCCAGTTGCTCCAGAGGGATAGATTAGGGGGATTGTAGTTCTATACCGTCCTGGGCAAAAAGTGACGGTAAATTCATCTCAACCCACAAACTGGATAGGATGGTGTCTTCTTGTCATTCTATCTATGCAGAGAGCTGTCAGTAGGAGGATCTCAGTGCAAGATCAGCCCTGGACAAAGTTTTGAGACCCTATCCAAAATATAACTAAAGCAAAAAAGGGCTAGGGCCATGGCTCAAGTGGTAGAAGGCCTGCCTAGTAAGGCTCTGATTTCAAACCTCAGTCCCATCAAAAAAGGAGGAAGGGAAGAAAGACAGAAGAAGGAAAAGTAAAACTCAAGGAGGCCAGGCTCTGACTCAACCACCCTAATGAAGAATCTATTTTAAGAAAATAATCAGGATTATTACCATTTACGAAGAAACAGTTTACCCCCATATTATTTGTATAAAAAAAGTGGAAAGAGGGCTGGGAACTTGGCTCAGTGGTAGAGCGCTTGCCTTGCATGCCTGAGGCCCTGGGTTCGATTCCTCAGCACCACATAAGCAAAAAAGAAAAAAGCCAGAAGTGGCGCTGTGGCTCAAGTGGTAGAGCGCTAGCTTTGAGCTGAAGAGCTGAGGGACAGTGCCCAGGCCCAGAGTTCAGGCCCCACGACTGGACCCAAAAAAAAAAAAAAGTGGAAAGAGCCTAAATGTCAGGAAGCTTAATGTCATTACAAATTCAGTAAATACGTAATGTTTTTACATGGTTGAATCTTATGGAGTCACTAAAATGACATTTTTCAGGGAGTTGGACTGTCATTAAAAAGTGCACAGGAAGACTAGCTAAGCAAAGGCAAACAAGAACTGGATTTGATACAATCTCAGTGACCCAAAATGCCAAGAAATCCCAGAAGGACACACAAACAAAAGGTTGATGACACGCACCATCATGTGACAAGATTATAGGCGATTACTTTTTCATTTGAATTTCTGAGGAATCTATGACAGCATATGTGATATGTATAGTGAAACAAATACACATGTTTAATGTTTAATGATGTTTAATGACATTGGAATATGTTTTTCTCAGAAGTTGTGGTAATTTAAGGCTTGGATATTCATTTGCTTTCTAGGTGAACTTATTTTAAAGTGGTTCATAAATACTGAAAAAACAACCACCACCAAAAAAAGAGGTAGCCAGGCAGCTCCTAAAATAACAATGGAATTTGGACATTGTGGTAATAAAGTGGGTACTTATCGCTGTTTTTGCTCTTCTCCTTTACATTCTAGCATCTACCTCTGAACCAAATGGACCTCTACCATGGTCCCACCCGGAGACCTGGCAGGATGTTGGAGCCGGATGGGGAGGGTACAACAGCACACTTCCACGCCCTGGGGATGACGTCATGATCCCGCCCAGTGAGTACAGCAGTCTGAGAGATTATCCAGACTCAAACCACACTGCAGCCGATGGGGATTATGCGTCATTTATGTTTTACGGCAGAGCAAGGAGAACAGGGAAAGAAATGGCTGTTTCTTTTAATAGCTCCCTTGGGGGTGGGGGTTCTCTAGGAGAGGAATTCCATAGTTTAGTGAAATCTAGAACAGGTATCCTAGGCAACCGTCATTGAAAATGGGATCAGGAATCCTGGGCCGTTAGAATAATCCACTCACTGGTAATTTTCCTCATGACTCAGACGACTTATGGTGTTCAATATTCTTTGAAGAGGGAGTCTGGAAGTTGGGGAATGAAAGAGAACAATTTATAAGGGTCTTCTTACTTTTTATCTTTGTGAATTCTTTTTTCATATAGAACTGAGAGAAAAGGAAAAGCTCTCTGTTGCCACATTTTCTCAAAATGCTGAAGAAGGAAAAGAAATAGGAAAAAAAAGTAGATTAATAAAGTAGAAAAAAAAATCAATCTATCCAGCAGATCCATTCGTCTACCTAGAACTGCCTCCAATCCACACACATTGTGAAGAGCATGAATTCCTGAGATAGTCAGCATAGATTTTCCTTAATGGAACATTTAAGAAAGTCCCAGAAAAATCTCTTCAGCCCAGGAAGAAAATGATTTCCATGGAACTATTGGAATTCTGACCCCCTGACCTTATTCCATTTATGGTTTAATTTGAGCCTTGTAAGGAAATAGTGAATAAGAGAGGAGCTGTCATGGGAAAAGAACATTTAGCATCTGCCTGGTAAGAACAGTGAGAGCCGGGGCCCTCACAGTGGACCAGCAGTTGTGCCAGTAACCACAACGCCCTTGCGAGGGGAAACATTACTATCTGTAATTTTGCAGACAGAGACAGAAGCCCAGGTCATCGCAGTAACTTGTTCAGAGACACACAGCTTGCAGTTTGAAACCCGAAGAGTCTGAATCTAAGTGCTTAAACAATAAGTACATTCTCTTTCTAACAAGACGAAGGGTAAAGTAGAAGAGCGGTTGTGTTGGTCACTTTATCTTGGATGGACGGCTAAGTCGGACTGAAAGAGAGCGTAGTTGGAGGTGGATGTTGGTGTTAACTGCGTATAGGGCTCTAGAGTCAGGAGGGAGAGACTGCCACCCAGCTTCCTTCACTGGAGCATGGAACTTGTTGAATAAACAAGCTCATGAGTTATTCCTATACGTAAAAGAGAACTGTGTTCTCCCTCGCCATCCCTTGGATGAGTCTAGCCAGTGGACTTGCTCTGGGCTCTGGTTTTCTCTCCACCAGGCAGTGAGTGAGGGAAGCTTTCGAGAGTCGCCATGCTTTCGTGTGGTTGGGGGTGTTCGTGCTGCGTGAGGCCTGAGTCCCGCCATCTCCTCCACCGTCTGGCTTGGCCCTGCAGTGTGGCACCTCCAGCCGGCTCCTGGGTGGCGATGGCATCCCCCACCAGCGTTTGGCCCACTCAGGAGGGAATTCTCCCTGGGCTTAGCTGGCACAAGTCTTCGCTATGGAGAACAGGGTGCAGGAACTGGACACATTCAGATTCCCTTCGGATCCATCCTTTCCTGCTACCGAGGGAGGCAAAGGTTTTGAGGCCTGCCCAGGTGAGATTCACTGTGGTTTTCAGCGAAAGCAGCGCGTGAGGCATTGTCACGCGCAATGAATCGCTCACTGGTCCTCACCGGCAGCAAAGGGCCTGCGAGCCGGCCGCCTGCGGTCCCCTGCGCTGCTCAGGCTTGGGTCTTGTACAGCGGGGAGCAGGCTCTTGTCTGTACTTTCCCCTTCTGAGTTTGGCCCATTTTTACGGATGCTCTCACTTCCCATGAGCCTTTGGAGTGAGCCTACTTCCTCTTTCTGCTTTCAATTGGAATTTTCCCCAGCCATCCTGGCCCAGGATACACGTGCGATCTGTGTTGATTGGAAGCCTGTAGGAGGCCCAAGATGGTCATCCATCGTTCCACACTAAAATGACAGATCTGACACGGGACACGTGTCAGGACTGAATGTGTGGGAAATAATGTTTTCAAACAGATGCTGAAGGCTTTGATGGTGGGGGAGCAGCCAGCGTGCTTGAGGGCTGGGGGGTCCTGCAGGGCTCCCCGTGCTGGCAGCTCCCCGCCGCTCTTCCCACTTAACGCTCACGCTACTCAGTGACTGGGTCCTGCGCCTCTCTCTGCTTCAGACATGAAGAATATTGGACAGAGAGAGGAGAAGTCGCTAGGTTTTGTTTTATTTCTCATAGTAACTAAGAAGCTAGAGCAGGAAATCGGAGCCCTTCCCTTCCTCATCCTTCTCTTCCTAGCCTTTCCCCTCCCCTTCCTTTCCTTCTCCTTCCCTCTTTTCCCCTTTCCCTCTCCTCCCCCTCCCCCTCCCCTGGTATCTGTCTCTGTCTGTCTTCGTCTCTGTGGAGTTGAGGATGAAACCCAGAGCCCTACACATGCTAGTTACATGCACTCCACTGGTTGGCTGCACCGCTGGCCTTAGCTCCCATCTCCTGTGGTTTGGGGGGAGGATGGTACTGGGGTGTGAACGCAGGGCCTCACCGTCGGCCAGGCTGGCAGCTCTACAGCTTGAGTCATACCTCCAGCCCTGGTTTCTGTTGCTTATTTTGGACATGCGTTTTTGGACCCCATGTATAATGCGAAGGTATAACGAATGCATCCCAATGTTAAGGAGTTGAATGAGATAGCATCTGTGTACATGACCACGGCTTTGCACTCTAGTGACAATGGAATTATAGGTGGAGCCTGTGATTTGTAATGTGTCAGGTGCTCTGTTCTGTCATTTTTCCATCTGCCTGCTCTTCTTGGCCTCTGATATTAGTGGCACTTTGTATTTTCTTTCCAATGGCTTATTATTTAATTTTCACAACATCCTTGGGAGCTAAATAGGTAATAACTATTATTACAGTAAAAACCCATTTTTACATAATACGATTTTAATGGAACTGCTGATTTTACAAAATGAAAGTGACTGGTAAAGAAGATTTAAGTGATACTTTTGAACCTCTAATATAATTTTATGGTGTTTTGTGTATTTTAATTCATTAATAAAGGAAACGTGTAGAACAGTCCCATCATTATTCAAATAGAATAGCATAATTTTTCAATAAAATTCTTTGGGTAAATTGCCTATTTCCATTTTCTGGGAAATCAATTTTATGGAATGACCTCAGACCCATCCTATTTGATAAAAATAGGGCTGTACTGTACTAATAAAAGATATCACTATCTTAAGTATGGTGCCATTTTCCTTCCAGGCGAGCTGTCTTTGTAGACACTGTGATTATGGAGGGCTGTACATTGTTCTCTGCAGTGTTATATGTCGTGAGTGGAGGTGGTCGTGAAGATTTGCACTTGTGGTTTAGCTTTTGGTAACTCTGCATCAGACAAACAGTGTATCTTTTTGTCTTTGCCTTCTTCATACTGCAAAAACAAAGTTCCAGCACATTCTAGGCTGTGTAGGTAGCGGGACTAATTTCTGCCTATGGAGGGCTGTACATTGTTCTCTGCAGTGTTATACGTCGTGAGTGGAGGTGGTCGTGAAGATTTGCACTTGTGGTTTAGCTTTTGGTAACTCTGCATCAGACAAACAGTGTATCTTTTTGTCTTTGCCTTCTTCATACTGCGAAAACAAAGTTCCAGCACATTCTAGGCTGTGTAGGTAGCGGGACTAATTTCTGCCTACCTTATTCTACAAATCCCGTCCTTCTTCATGAAGTGACAACCTGTAGCTCCTCCTCTGTGATGTGTTCTGAACTGACCTGAAGGATGTGGATCGGTTATTCGCGGAGCTACCTCGGAAGAACTGTCACCTTGGTAGGATGGCACCTGCTCTTCGCCATGGAAGGAGAATGTGTTACCTGCAATTAGAGCAGATAGGGTTTGGTGTGGAGGGTACAGCTGTGATACGATGTCATGTCGCCCTGGGCATCTTTCTTGGTATGTTTGTTGCAGTAGAACTCACTGTTTCATTTTTCTCTATCCGTGTGATTGGTTCACATGTGAAAAGCTGAATGGGAGAGAACTCTTTGCTTCTATCATAGTTCTTGTGTTGGTTCTGACTTTTAACAGTTGGGCCCTTTAACTGACAGAGACCCATTAAAGCCATGTGGTGTTTAAAGATGATGGGCGATGTTTAATGCATTTCCCTGTTAAATTTGAAGGCATTGTCATGGATTGGTTATATGGGGCAAAATGATTGGCAATCAGAAAGTTGTCTTTGAGGGGAGGAATTTCTATAACATGTTGTGATTATGGAATTACTAAATTGATTTTACCTTTATCTTTCCTGAGAGTACATCTAACTGAGGATTCTGTGCACATACAGACAGGCATAGGTCTGTGGTGTCAAGTAAGAATGGAATGTTACAAGCATGGTGGTGTTTCTGTAGCCGCTGTAGTTCTCTTGTAGTTTTGTCCAGGTGTCACTTAGATGGGGTAGACATTTCCACCATCTAGACTTTCTGGACTGCTAGCGGTTGCGGAAGAGGATTTAGATTTGGACTGCTGGGGTCCTTGTAGGTGTGTGGTACCAGCATGGTGACAGTTGCACTGTGGGTATTTTGGAACTTGGTATTTAACTGTCAAATGGCCCAGAAGCATAAGGCATAGGCTGGGGTATTTCTGTTTGGGTTCTTCCAGCTGGTTCCTGGGCTCAGGTCAACTAAAGGTTCAACTTAACTCATGGCCACTCACGTGTGGATTCTCGGCTGGGCATTTAGGCAGGAAAATCTCCTAAGAGACCCCAGGTCCTTTCCTCATACGTGTTTCTGGGGAGCATCTTGGGCTTTCTAACAGCATGGCAGCAGAGCTCTGAGAGAGAATGGCTTTAAGAAAGAATGCCTCCATATGTAACATAGGAGCCTTGATGGTATAAGGGAAGGGATAAGGGAAGTACATTTTCAGTCCTTCATTTCAGTTCCTTCACAGGAAATGTAGATGGGCTTTAGAGAATCTCACTCACTGGTAAAAGTAAAAGCTCTTAAGG